CAAAATACGCCATCTCTAATACTCCATCTAAAGCATATATATAGAATGTGTTTTACATATTTCTGATTTATACGACAAGTTACGGAGGACATAAATTTATTGATTGAGATATATCTTGTCTATCCGGCACCTTTCTGGTCCAGTCCGATGATTGAGTACTCAAATTATTAAGGCAACCACCGGAAGTTTTGATTAAGTTTTCATCCTGCAGAGCGTTGAACATAGGTTGAAAAAGAGTACTGGGATTGTTATGATGTGATAATTTATTAATGGACAATGGTCTTTTGCCTGTTGTTATCGCAAATCTAACCTAACGTGTATGCTGTTTTATAGCGTCGATGAAGGATATCTGTACATAACGATGATTTATAACATATCTATCTCGTTGGCATTGTACGGATTCTTTTTATTCTACCGGGCAACGAAAGATCTGCTCAGTCCTTACAGTCCTGGTCTGAAGTTTCTAACTGTGAAGTCTGTTATATTCCTTTCGTTTTGGCAAGGTGGGAATTTTACATTCTGCTGCAGCGCGTGAATGATTAACCGTTGGTGTTCTTTTAATGCTTAGGCGTTCTTTTGGCTATTCTTGGTGCTACCGGGGCAGTGGAACCCGTGAAGGACGGTGCAGGCAACGTTGTCATCGGCACCGGTACGGTCGCAGCCGGCTATCAAAATTTCCTGATCTGCATTGAGATGTTCATCGCAGCCATTGCTCTCCGTTTCGCTTTCTCCGTGTCGGTTTACGCGGATGTCAACAGTAAGTTTAACCGTTTTCTACCGTGGAATATTTATTTATGGAACTTATGCTGTTGATGGTGATCACGCGACTAAGACGATGGCGGTCTTCATCAACTAGTTCCTTTGTTTCCCTCTGAGTGAGAACACTCCTGTTCAAATTCTGAATTCGGATTGGCGGTATCGTTCCAGGGGAGTGTCTGACGCGCTGTAATGACCACTCTTTCTGCATCCTCTGTTCAGAACAGAGAGGAACTTTACTGCTGACGGTGTTTTCGTAATCATCGCGTAGATTTCTTCTACTGTGCCCCGGGCAGCCCTTGGTGACCCAAGCGACAACTTTATATATGCAAAACAATCTTTATAAAGAGTCAAAATATCAAACTTCTGTAATTAAGTAACATTAATTTACACATTTTTACGTATGATGCAGAGGCAGACTTTTTAGAGTACATTCTACTTTTAATTAGCATTTTATTATATAAACAGATGTAAAGAAGTAATCGATCATCCACATATTCATTCGTAAAATGTTTCCAAAAGGAAAGTTTATATTCTCCGGAGTGTCGTTGCGTTGTCGTCGCCTCATGATGTTAACAAATATTCGGCAGCCGATTGACCAAGATTTGTGATGTCTGACCTTTAGAAATAAACCATCCCAATGTTATTTTTCGTTATGCTTCGATAAGTAGTGACATTTGCATATTTTAGTAGAGTGGTCTATTAGCTTGTAGTCTTGTACCCGCATATCCCCGCCTGACGATGTTTTGGTTACGAGTCTGGCTTTTTACCGTTGCTGTCTAACCTTTTTTACAAATAACGCGTTTAGTCATTTACCCAGCAGCTCAAACTTTATTTTGCATCTTTCACACTGATCCACCCGTAGAAAGTTTGCTTTCAAAAATGATGTACCGGAAATACTCACTGTTCAAATTTGCATAAATGTTGTTTCTCTACTGAAAGTGCAATAAACAATGAATAAAGATTGCAGAAACGATGATTAAGTGCAGGAAGCACAAGTGTTTCGTTTCAGTGTGGCATCTCAGACGTTTTGTTCCTGCTGTAC